AAAAAAAAGCTTGTTTGTGTGTTTGTGTGTTTGTGTGCGAGTGTTTTGAGTTGATCCCACTGAAAGTCACCTCTGATAGCCATTATACACCCACACGCTGAAATATCCCTCAGTTTCTCTTACCCCCTACCAGCTCACTCCCCCACAATGCACACTAAACAGACATGGTTTGTTGCTACGTTCCTCTGATTTGCAGGGGATTTACAACAGTGCCACGGCCGTATTAATAGGGCGGGTATACGCTTCAAGGACTAGCTGCTGGATCTTAAGCACAGCAGTGGATTTGTGACGCATCGTATTCATAGTGGGAACGAGTTTAGACTCTGAGGTTTGGGAATCAAAAGTGATTCTGACCATCAATCAGTTCCCTTCCAACACATATTGAAATATCTCTGGGGACTAGAGTCAAGGTGTGGCTCTTTGTGTGTGAGCAAATTTATGTATGCGCATGTTTCCTTGCTTTTGAGCATTACTTGTGTCTGTGTGTGTGTGTGTGTGTGTGTGTGTGTGTGTGTGGCTGTGATTTGAGCAAGTGTATCAGCGCACAATTACGCAGGGAGTCTGCGTCCATCTTTATTTGTATTTGTGCGAGTTGTATGAGGCTGTAAATCACCTCTGTGCCTTTGTCGTGCCGCCGCCTGCCTCTCAGTCTGTGTTCTGTGATAGATCTTGACAAGCTGCTGTCTGAATTATTGATTCTCTGATCTGAAAGTTTGATGCTTAGCCCGAGGGCTGGATTAACCTGCCGACAGAACCGCTGTCTCCCCCCTCAGAGGTAACCACAGCACAGACACACAAAATACACATGCATATTCATGCACACGTATGTGCACGTACACACACCAGACACTAGTTGACACGGTGGACGCTGCTCTCGGCCTGAGAGCCCCCCAGCCCACAGTTAGAAGCGGGATGATTTCGTCTCTCTGTTCCTTTGTCCTTTTGAATGGCTCTTCGTGGGTGGGTGGGATACAGAGTGCATCATGGGAGACAACAGACATGGAAGACAAGACTCAAAAAACATTAAATTCTCCCAGTGGTTGCGACACCCTCAGGTAGCGCGAGCCGGCTCCCCGTTCAGCGGAAACTCTGCCTCCGAGTGGAGAATTTGTTTCAAACAAAAACATCATGGACGATCAATAAAAGAAAAGACATTCAGCAAAATGACAATTCCTGTTCATGAAGCTGCGGCGGAGGAGGAACTCACACCAACCCGGACGTACTCAAGTATTCAAATATAAAGCTGTAACACACTCCCGTACACCGACACACTGACACACACTGACACACACTGACACACACTTCCCTCAGCGTGCACGTTAAGCTAACCTTTGTATATTCAACACTATGTTAAAGATAATTTATCTTTTCTGTTTTTCCGGTGCTGGGGGGAAGGAAGTGCCAATAAGGCTAATTAATTAATAGGATGTTTATTTCAGTTCATAGATTTACTGTCTTCTTTTGTTTCTTTTGTGGTTGGTGTGTTTTGTGTTTTATCCCCTTCATGTGTAATTGTTCCACTCAGACCTTTTGTTCTGCGTTTCTTCGGTCACTTGAGTTTTTCTCCCAGCATGCTCCCTCACATCTGCACTATAATCAGTATTTTTATATTAACAACAGAGACGTGGCTCCAAGTGAATCATCACCAAACTGCAGCTTCCTGGAACTGATGGAGGTTTTTTAGCGTCTTTTGGTTCATTGTTTTGGTTTTGATTCAGTCTCATCGCTCTCATGGTCTTTGTTTCAGATGCAGCTGATCACTGTTTCCAAAGAAACCTCCTCACACACACCTGCCCGGCAACAGGAGACAAGACGAAGTTAGCGACGAGCTGGTGAACATAGTGAAGCATTTAAGCTAAAGAGAGATAAAAAAAATATTGGACTTACATTCATGGAGTGGACAGAAACATGAATCCAAATGAATTCTCTTGCTGCTGGATGTGTAATTGCAATTGTTTTCCATAAACGTGCCGCAACATCTTTATAAGATGATGTAAATGTTGTCTTTAATTAAACTGCGTTAAAGACGTGGCAACAACCATGAAATACGGCCGTAAAGTAAAGTGCACAAACATATGTGGACACTTCCTTCAGTGTATTTCCAGCAGCACGTCTGTCCTTACTGCTGATAAAAAAAGAAAAGAAAAGAAGTTGCTTCCCTTTAGAAACTGAACCGGAAAGACTTGATGTAAATCTCAAGCTTGTGTGTTAAGCATAAGGCTGCAGTCAGGACGTACTTAGCCTAGCTTAGCATAAAGATTGGCTCCAAATTTGGCTACGTCTCTCCGTAAACATTTTTTTGAACTGCTGGTAAGAGTTGGAGCCCTCTACCGGAGTCTCACATATTTACACCACCTAAAACCAGCACAGCGCTCCATCATCCTCGCTCCCTGTTGATTTGAATTGTCGACAGGTTTTGAATGAATTCTTGCCCTTCAAAATAAAAATAAATAAATAACTAAATAAAAAAAAGAAAGATTTTGGGATGCACCACTCTCCTGCTGTGACGTTTCTCTTGTTCAGTAACTACATGACAAATTGACAAATTGTCCATTTCTACTGATGCTGCGGCTGAGTGATTTGTGACAAATCGAGCGTTTCATTATAACGTGTTCCCTGTTTGGAAATAGTCATAAAAAAATGTAAAAAAAAATAAAATTTTTTAAAAAGCTTTTTTTGTTTGTTTGTTTGTTTAGTTTTTGGAGTGATCAGATGACAGATGAAGGTGTGTCGTGGATTTAGCAGTAAAGTCATTACAGCCTTGTTAGGAAGCGCCATAAACCAATGGCCCACATCAAGCAGTGCCGCTGTCTGTATTGTTAAAATGCAAGTGGCTTTATTTATCGGTCTCTCCTCCGTCAGTCGCGAACCTTTCCCTCCCTCCCTCTCTCTCTCCCTCTCTCTCTCTCCCTCTCTCTCTCTCTGTCTCCTCCTGTGTGCTGTTTCTCTTTGCTTATCTGTCACATTGCTGAGGTGAGTCCTCTGTCTCCTGATTTATTCATGATACGACTTTTAATATCATTCACTATGACACTGGAGTCTGCATCCCAAATTAAAATCCTTCAGGCAAAGTGTGTGCCATGTACTGTGTGCACTATATGTGTGTGTGTGTGTGTGTCTGTGTGTGTTTCTGAGAGGAAAAAAAAAAAGAAAAAAGAGACAAAATCTACTGTATCTCCATCACTTTATACGGCAAGTTGAGATGCACAGCAGATGCTTAAATAATCCATTATCTGATTACATGAGGGCTTTGCATGCTTATGCAAAACTGCAATACTATACATCTCTAATTATATATATATATATATATAGTCTTTATAAAGTGTGTGACTTGTCTTTGTGAGTCTCTCTATGGTAACGTGGCATCTCAACAATTAGCCAGGTGTAATTGAGTGGGGTACATGATTGTCACTGGCAATTGCAGTGATGGAAAGGCACGCCATTCAAGAGTGTGTGGGTGTTAACCACGAGCGCGGCTCCGTGTGTGTCTCTCTGCGTTTTTAATGGGCGCTATAAGCTTTGATGGAACATTACCAGTTTGTTCTTGAGCGTATGTCAACATACGTGGGTGGAAAGGTACGTTTCTGAAGAGCTTTCTCTGTTTAAACGCGTGGGCGGGATTTTTTTTGTATGTGTTTATCAGTATATTGTAGAATTTGTCAGGTGCATTTGAAAGTGACGAAGAAGGAGAAAAAGCCGAGCAAGGACTTAAAGACACCGATGTGTCACAGTTACCTCCGCTGTGTTCTCCCCTCCACTTACGGCCCCCTATACATTCGTCTCCTCTTGACGACATCACGATCACACTTTGTACCTGCTGATTGCAACCTGCTCGTTGTCACCTCACAGCTGATCCTATAGCTTCCAAGTGCAGCAGCTTCTTCTTCCTGTTCACAGCTGTTTGAACAACTCTGGAGTCTGATGTAGTTTTAAGCTGAGGGCTGTGAATGACAGCACCTACACTTTAATGATATGGAGTGGTATGGACGGGAGGGGGGGGGGGGGGCTTGGAAAGACTGTGGAGTAGCTCAATAAATAAAAAATAAATAGAAATCACAAAGAAATTAGATTTAAAAACACATCTGCCTATTGTCACACTTGATATTTATGTATTCATATTGTCCTTTTTGTAAACACTGTACCTGTGCACCTTATGTTTTGTCTGCTTGTTTTTAATTATGTAAAACCACCATAAATTAATAAATTAAAAACAAACAAACTAACAAAAAAAGCCAGCAACAACACCTGAATGTTACATATGAGAGTAGCTGAAAACGAGCGAGCAGAGAAACTGTTCGCTGAAACCATTGCTACTTTTTAAAATGCTGTTTAATGTAAATACTCTGTGCAATGTATTTCAATATTTTCATTACTTTTTTTCTTTTGGTTTTAACGTTTTAACGCTCTTACTTATTTCTCTGTTTGCACATTATGTAAATATCTTTTTATTTATCTTTACAAATGCAAGTATTGATGTACATACCTTCTTATTTATGGTTGAGTTGTTGTTGTTTTCTACTTTATTCTGTTGTTATACTTGTTTCCCTCTGCTGCTGGAACAAGTGAATTTTCCCCAGTGTGGGATCAATAAAGGTTTATCTTATCTCATCTTAACGAATTAACTGCTGAAATTATAGATTAATGTAATAGATAAATAGTTGAAACAGAAAGCTTAATGTTAAGGGTGAATGGTTAAAATAAAAACAAACAAAAGTAACAGTGTAACACAGTTAAAATAAAGGTTTTATTGTTATTTTTATCTGAGTTGAACACGTACAGAGATGATCAGCCACTCAGTGATCACTGGTGGTTAAGCCCCGCCCCTGGTTGAACACGACAGGTGGATCACAAAGTACCTGCACCAGCAAGGTTGTGTGAGAGACAGGGCTGAGGCGTGCTCGTGGAACGGCGACGGGAGGGGGGAGGGGGAGGGGGAGGTTGGGTGAGGAAAGGAAGTTGATGAGCAGCATTAAAAAGTAAAGAGTGAGTAAAACCTACCGGCTAACCAACCAACACAGAGGAGTCACGAAGAAGAAGCAGCCGGAAGTGTGTGTTTTCCAGCTGTCTCGGTAAGCTTGGGGCTAATATATGTGTGTGTGTGTGTGTGTGTGTGTGTGTGCGCGCGCGGCGCTGCGTGGCCTGTCTGTCTGTTGAGTTATAGAAATGACCTTTAACCGAAGCAGTTGTGTTAAAGCCAGACGATGAAGATGTAAATATTTAAATGACACTTTTAATATTTTTACTGCAGGAGATGCGAGAGTCTGTTCGTGTCACTTGTGTTTTCATTAGAGACTGTGAGATTGATACTGAACTCTTTCCTAATATTGGATTAAGGGGAAGCTAACAGCTGTTGTCCTAATGTTCTTTGTGTTGTGTAATAGTGTACAGTGATGTTTAGATATTGATTTCTACATTTGAGGTTTTTTGAACTAGATCGTTGAGTGTAATATTGTGTGTGATGCTTTAATGTGACGTTGTTGTTGTTGTTGTTGTTGTTGTTGTTGTTGTGCTTTCAGTATGAATGTTCGGATTAAATCTTAAAGTGCCTGTTTGCAAAATCAAACAGGTCGGGTGGTCTGATGGGCAGAGTGAGAGACACCCCCTGGAGGTCATTCCTATGGTTCTACCTGGAACCCGGAACCTGGAACCCGGAGTCGAGTCATCGAATGTTCCACCTGGTGGGTAAGGAGGAACCAGTCGCCACGACGCCCGCACACATCCACAAAGAGCGCCGCACATTATTCCAGAAAACTGTCACAGGACAGTCACGAACATTAAGAAGACTGAAGGTGATGACAGATAACAGAATTTAATGGCTTTAAATACACGAAAGACTTAGTTTTAAAGGGCATGAACCTGTTATTGTTGTGAATTATTACCTGCAAGTTAATTTCACTAAAGGTTTCAAATTGCGACTTACCTTGTGCTTCATTACTTTAGTTTATGTTTCTGAGCTCCTCACGAACCTTGTAGCGGTGTAATTATCAGGAGTGGGTTTACTTCAGCTTAAAGTAATTGTAAATAGTTGAAATATCATAAATCCTCAGCCAAAAGCAAGTATTCACAAAGTGGCAGAGTCTCGAATAATAGCAAACAAAATAAATAAATAAATAAATAACATTAAATAAGAAAAAAAAAAAGAAATGACCTTTAACCTCCAACAACAGCTCACATGGTAAATTTGGCATAATGTATATTTCCACTGCACTGACTGATGTTCTCACACTGTGATTTATTCCAGAAAATTTACATTATTCTGAATTTATTAAGACAACAAGTAAATATGGAGGAGGTTTCAAACTTTTCATCAACCCCAGAACGGCTGATATTAAAAATAAAAGCCTCTTTTTTAATATGAGCATGTCAAAATAAGGGTCTGTCTCTCTCCCTGCCGCTCGCTGCTATTTGAGAATTCACAGCAGTTCTTTTAAAGAATCGGGTAAATGTTAAAAAGAAGTAATGTAGTGAGTATAGATGGGTGAAATAGTTAAAGCAGGACTTTGTAAGTTTTGATAGAAGGAAAAACACGGTCTTCCTAGTGCAAAGAAAAAGCTGAATTTGTAAGAGTTCAATATATTAAGTGGCTTTGCAGCTAACGGTGGCTAATGGCTAATAACGTTAGCTAACGTTAGCCACAACATCGGATGGATATCGCTGTGTAACTGACTTTTGTGTGTTGGTAGTACTTCTACACAGCTCACCAAACCAAACCTAAACATTCAGTTACGTGAAAAAAAAAAAATTCTCTTTAATAATCGATAATCATTAATATTAAATGACATACAGTTTAAAATCTATTCAAATGAGGACAGTAAGAGGATGAGTTCAGGGTTGTGGCGGTACGTCAAACCGCTGTCGTCATGGACCCTCACACACAAACAGAAATATATATATATATATATCTATATTTACATGTAATATAAAAGGCTCTTTGGTGGAAAGGATTCAGAGGGTTTCTGTGTTCTGTCTGCTGGCTCTTGGGGTGGGAAGTCATTATGCGTGTTACCACCTGGCCCTTCTCTTACTCGCAGTGCTGTATGGCTCTGCGGTAACAAATACCCCAAGGACGATAGCAAGGGACGACAAAGGATGGAGATGAAGAGGAGGGTGGGTGCACGTTGCGCCTCAGAGTGAGGGCATGGCTCAGCAGGCTCGGCGGTGTCCCCTCGATGCTGGCTGGTTTTTGATGTTGAGAACCCGGAGTGGGCTTGGTTTTTAATGTTATGCAACTTTGAAGATAGAGTGTTTGAAGTTATGCATGAGTTGGACTCATTTCCAGCTTCTTCCTGATTTGTTTTTGTTTTTTTTTGTTTTTTGTTTTTTTTTTTTCCCACCATCTCTTTCTTCTCTTAGAATTTTTTTTTTTTTTCTATGAGACGCACAAGTTGTGCGTTTGAAGTGAAGGAATGTTTCAAGGGTATCTGCTGAAGCGCCCGTTGTGGTCGTGGTCTTCACTGTGCTCGTGCCTTAATTGTGTCTCTTAAGTAATTGTTCCTCATTTGGTCTCTCCTACAGAATCTGCTCTGATTTTACACATTGTATGGAAGAACCTGTTGGAGCTTGTATTCTTTTGGATTAAAGGAGCTATATATAAGTCGTGGCTATCGCTACGTAGCTAACATTAGCATAAGCAGCTGTTTACTTACCAGTCTAGAAGAAACATTTCAAAGAACTTCATGCCTTTATCTCCGGCGGTTGTTTTGCTTCTATTTCTATCACTTCTATTCTTTTACTGAAGTTAGCATGCTAGCTAGCTAACGCTGGCTGGAGTCACAGTGTCTCAGTCTGCCCTGAAGAAGTAGCACTGCTAAGAGGGTGGATTACCTCTTGTATTGTAAACGAAGCGATGGCTGAAGCTCTTGGCGAGCGACCATCACCTCCACCTGCTTCGCTTCCAGCAAAAAACCATCTTACCATCTAAGAAAAGTTACATACGGCACCTTTAAGGTCAATTTTAAGTTCCAGGTTAAAATTGAGGGAATTTTAAAAGACCGACTTACTAATTTATATCAAGTTGATATTTGTCTCTTCAGGTGAGAACATGTAACGCTCCCCGGCTCATTTCAAAACACACACATATCTGACCCGTGTTTGGGCCAAACTTTTGTTTTCCTCTGGCCCCAGTATACGCCCGGTTCCACGGCCCACATCTGGTCCATATACAAGCATCACTGTCAGATGCTACCTCCACATCTGGACCTATTCTGGCGCACACACAGGAAATCTTCCGGCTGTCAGCCAATACTGGAGGATACCAGCCAGGATCTGGCCAGATGTGGAAGCATATGGGCCAGACTCGGGCCGAGGACCGGGGCCTATATCGGGCCAGAGGTTTCATTTTGCGATCACTTATCTTAAAGTGGCTAATGCCAGCTAACATTACTGTAAATATTAGCTTGAAACGGTTCTATAATTGTTGATCTGCTAGCGTGTTATGAAGAGCTAGCTGCTACGACCTACAAGCTAACGGCGTTGTGATGTCATGACGTAGAACCAGTTTCCGTTTGAAATCAGATGTGCTCCCTCCATCTCGGCTCGAGCTGTTTTTAAATGTGCTCTCGAAAATAGAGTCGACTTGACTTGACCAGAACATGAAGGGCGTTTGCTCTAAATCACATTTGATTAAATAAATGTACAAACACATCTCTGAGTGCAGGAAAAGAGAAGGATTTTAATAAGAAATACACAAACAGGACTTGAAAACGGTCTCAGACTTTTGGAAATCTCATTTACTTGATCTCACCCCATCAGGAGAAGCTTATTTAAAATTTTAAGGAGTGCAGGAAAGACAATATTTCAGCTCGATACAGGATCTTTTTTTTTCTTTCAGCTCCATATTTCTCCATTTACCTCTCCCAATAAACAACAGCGAGCGGCTCGGTGCCATCTATTCCTTCGGTTGCTCCTCTCTGCCCTTGTCAAAAAAGACAAATGATGTGAATCCTTCCTTTTAAAAATGCTGCAGCCCATTTTGGATTGTATTGCGGGAGCAATAGCACTGTTCAATATTTAGGATTAGGCTTTGACAGCATGGAGGAGGAACCATTATCCCATTGTCGTGTGAAGCTGGAGAGAGTGGTTTGGATCTCTGTGATGTGCACTTTTAATGAGGCCCATTAAATCAAGTGGCAGTTCCTCACAAGGAAAAGTTGGTTGGTGTTTAATAGTTTCACCGCAAGCTTACATAAGCCCCTTTAATTCAGCGCTTGGGCGCTCTTTCCGGGCAGCGCCGGGAGAAGGCTCCCTTGCTCCGCCGAGAGGCACGCAACAGCAATTAGCCGTCCTCTGGAGTCTTAATTAGGGAGCCACGTCGACCTGAAGACGAGTGCGTGAGAGGACCACACGTCGGTCAACAGCCAAACAAAAATAGATGAAAAAAAAAATAGAGGCTCCAATTAATTACAGACTCCAAATGAGCATCCAAGTAGCAGCAGGCCTTGAGAGGCGAGAGGAATAAAGTCAGACATGGCTGGTTTAACTCTACTGGTGTGATGGAGTGGTGCCACCAGTTTATACCTCTGCTTTTGCATCCGTCCCTACATGCAGGGCTCACCTTAGAGATGTGGAAGAAGGCTTATCAAGCAGCTCGCGGCGCCCGAGGGCAAACTGATCTGAGTGATCTGAGATTGTATGCTATATGTTCTTTAATTAGCTTGTAACTGACTTTGAGGGGCTGTTGTCTCCGCTAGCTTATCCTTCATTTGTTTAATTGGCATTCGGTGCATGCACTGCTTTTTGCGTGTGTGTGTGTGTTGGTGTGTGTGTACTACCTGCTTTTGTTCCACCTCTTCGCCTGTGTGTGTGTGTGTGTGTGTGTGTGTGTGTGAAGCAGGTACCGTTGCCGTGGCCATGGTGATGAGAAACAGCATGGAAGAGGGTGACAAAAGGCAATTGCCATGGTGATGGCGTACAGTGTTTGGCACTCGTGGTTATGTCAACAGTAAAGGCGATACGGTGACGCTGAAGCGGTGGGAAATATTTCTGTAAGGACCGTCGCACCGGTGATCATCGCTATGACGATGATGGGCGTTAAGGTGTTGGCAGAGCCGGGTTCGGGCGATGAGCGTCACGGCGCTGAGGCCTGATGTCCACAGTGCAGCTTGTGTATCACATTACAGCTGGTCTGCAGGCAGAAGACAGCAGCCTCTTGTTAACTTTAATGAGATAAAGACATGCCCTGCTCTTTGTCTAGGGACTTCTCTTTTTATATTCGTGTGTGTGTGTGTGTGTGTGTGTGTGTCTCATGCGAGCATGCTGTTCTGCCGCGACCACAGTAACCTCACAAACATAACACAAACAGAATAATGTCATGTATAAGAGGCGGATGTCAGATCTGATCACCAGTCATTTGTATTCCCTTTGATTTTTCTGTGTACAGTTCTGCATTAACCGTGTTTGTTCTATGTGCTGCTGATATTTTGCTTATTTGCAAATGAGCAATGCTCTTTCTTCAACAGACCTTGACAGCTGACATTATAGTGATGCTACTTTGCATCTGTGTGAAAAACTAAATGCGTGTGCGCGCGCTCCTGCAAAAACGGGTATATCTTTGCATGTATCTATTTGCGTGCTGAGTGTGTGGTTGGGCGCCATGCCAGCCTCTAAGTGACAGCACCCCCTCTCGTTGGCGCATCTTTGTCTCAGAGACTAATGGCACAGAGAGAATCAATTACCGCCA